AATTTACCCGTCTCATGCTTCATCCTGCCATCACCAGGGAAAATGATATTCTTAAGTTCTCCATTTAGGGCAGGGAAATATGGACTCATGTATAGTGAAGTTGAATCCGCAAGGTCCTGGCAAGAAGATGCAAACAGACTCCACTATAAAAGGCACAACCTAGAACCCAAGGTTTCCAATCTAGACACACTCCCTTGATATCCTTTCCATAAACCCCACAATAGGACAAGAGAGTAAGCCTGAGTCTGTGGACCAAGTTTGACAGTGTGCTGACACAGCTTCTGGATAAAATACAGGGACCAGGTAGCCCTTAAAAGCATCTCTGAAATCCCATAATCCTGCAGCACCATAAGAGCGTACCTGATGGATGTGATTATGAGATTTTCTTCAACAAAATATAGTAGATTGAACAACCAAACTCCAATGACACCCTCTGTATTTCCACAAAGGTCAAGATGTTGTCTGCTGGTCCATGGCCAAGGGGAAAACTATATTGCTCCTCTTTGATTCAGGGCTTGAAAGTCATTCAGAGCATCCTTTGCAACTGCCTAAAGTTAGCTTCTCCAGAGCAGCCGGGGAGAGATTATGCAACTGCAATAAGAGATTAATTTATTTTACGGCTATAAATGCATCTTGATCAGGAGCGCTAATAAACGTGAATGGTGCTCTGTGTTACATTTGGCTTATTGTATTTGTATAAATTGAAAAAATTGTCTTTGTAACTTAATTAAGTCAACAAAATATCAATACTTCATTTTTTGTGTTTCTAATACCAATGTATGTATTGATTGATGACTGTGTGGTTTCATTATGTAATGTGCCAATTTGGTCAATGCATGCAACTAAAGCTGAAATGGTTTGATTCCATAAAATAATGAGTTTAAAATGTTTTAAAAGGTAGTCTTGTGCATTATCTGTTACTTTTACTCACAAACTCCAATCCAAACAACCACTCTTTTCTATCCACTCACATTAAACATAGTGTCACTCACCTAATCAGGTTGACCAATCAGCTCCTCTGATCTCATTAAACTGTGAAACCAGCCTTTAGCCCTCCAAATGTTACACACAAAAAGAATCTCAGAAGCACAACAAGAGGCAATCAGCACAGAGGACATCACAGCTTTTTTAAATGCCAAGTAAGGTGTGAGATAATTGCGATTCACAAACAAAGAAGATATGCTGGTTTATGCTCCTTCAAAACATGAGGACACGGCAAGATAGGGCAGGGGAAAGTTAGGAGACGGATGTTCGGACAGATCAGAGCAAAGCTTAGATCTGCTCTGCAAAGTGATCCAGGGCAAATTAGGCTCTGCCGTGACGGCAGCACAACTGTCAAACACGAGAAAATAGCTTTCAGGCATAAACTGTTCAAACTGTCCGTTTTTTTTTTCAATAGCTTGTTTGACAATATGAAATTCTTTGGACACAGTTCACCTTTGACATTGGCCACCAAACTGTCCCTTATCAAGTTTTAAGTAGAAAGTTAAAAGTTCAGAAGTAAAAAAGTTTGGCAGATGTTTGTAAATGGTAAAAAAAAAAATCTTATTCAGTCTAACAGAATAAAACAACAGTTGGATGAAAAACATTTATACCACACTATCACAATGAGTTCTACTGTCTTCATGTTTTGCCTTAATTATTTTTTGCATATAAAACCAAGACACCCTCCCATCTAAACCAAAGCTATTTTAGGGCAGGGAAAAAATAAATCCCCCAGACACAATTAAGACTTAGGTTTTGTGCATAGGCAGAGGTCAACTGAACCACGTGGCCATATAGAAAGCCAGGCCAGCCCAGGCTGCTTTCTCCTTGCAGGGCGTATGAGCACATCGTCACATTAGAGACTTCACGTCACAACATCAAAGACAAAAGCCTCAGGTTGTGCAACAAGAAAGCTCTTGCTTCAGAGACCCTTGGATGTTAGTATGAACAGATTGTCTGTAATATCTGTTGATTTTCTTAAGGAGTTTGAATGACACATGCATCAACATCCTAATACCCTAAATATTGAAATCTTTTAGGAGTTATTGTGCTAAACAAAAGTTTATGGCCCCTTACATAGTTTCTGTTTTTTTTTTGTTCTTTGGCTCACTAATAAATTAATTTATTAAAGGCAAACAACAAGACCCAAATGACCTAATAGGAGAAAGTAATTACCCCTAGAATGTAATAACTGGCTCTGCCACTTTCTGTGAAGAAGTTTTTCTAATTACTAGCAATCAGTCTTTTACATTATTGTGCAGGGACAATTTCCCCAACTCCTCTGCAGAACAATTCGAAATCAGTCTCCTAGGAGGGTTTTCAAGCATGAACAAACAGTTCAACACTCGACTATAATTTAACCACTTTGTCTAATTTTTTCGTTCAGCCATTTAGTAATGGACTTGTCTGCTTACTTTAGATCTTGAACTGCTGAGTAACCTAAATATTTATTATGTTATTAAGAGGGCAACATTCATTGTACCATCATTTATGACAAGTCCTCCATGTCCTGATCAGATATGGCCCTTTTGTCTGATATTAACATTTTGTTTAACGATCTGATAGATTTGATGATCTGATGGATGTTGACCGGCTGTGCAACACGCCATGCGGGAGACCTCAGGGTAGGTTTCAAAATCTCTGCAGATGCTTCTAATGCAGTCATCGCAACAAGACAGAGATTTGAAGTTAAGCTTTCTTCCAAGAGACGCTGCTGTTTTTAATTTACACTCTTTCACAGAGCTTTGCAGAGATTTAAAGAATTTCAGCTGGATCAATTTCCATAGCTTTTAAGCGTGGGGATTTACCGTATTAAGACTTCATATAGGTAATCTTTTTTATGCAAAAGCCACTGAAAGAAAATTTAGAGATATTCATTTACACACACTGCCCTATAAGGAAACAGAGACAGCTACAGTCTGACATTTGCAGGGGCAAAGTTGTTGAGGCGTGAGGCTTATCAGGCTACTGCAGAACGAGCACGGACCCTCGCAGGGAAGCGTGTTTGAGTGTGTGGGGTCAACACTGCCTGTGTACGCTCCTCCATGTCTCCGTAGAGACAGGGCTCGGCCTCCCATGAAATGTCTGAAGTGACGTTAATGAGCCCTTGTTGCTGTTATCTTGAGCATTGCTACTTAACTCACCGGGGGAGATCCGAATTAGAGATAGATGCATTAACTGTCAGGCCAAATTGCCCTTCATGCTAACGCACACTTCCTACGACAGAATGGGCGAGCCACCTTCCCACACTCTTTAACAGCTTTATTGGTGTGGGCATGCTCTAAATCGTGACATTTCTGTTTTTGTGCTATAGGTTTCACACAGGGACTTCAAAACATCTACATTTTCTCCTGATAATTCGTTATGAGATATAAATGCTTGAAACAAGAGGCTAAGCTTTGTATGTAAAAGAAAACACAGTCACAGAGGGGTCATAAGCAAGCAAATCTTTCATTTGGAAATCAAAGCTACAGAACAAAGTTCCTATCCAGTGAGGCATCCCAACTGCATCTAGAAAAACTCCTTCTCAGCACCATGTTGATGTCGATGACCACTGACATTAAACAGAATCCTCCCCGCTGTTCTGCCATCTCTTTCAGATGTGTGATCTCAGGGGTCACCACAAGCCTGGGTGTATCACCTTGGATCCTAAAATTAAACGGTGAGTGCTAACATACACTGTAGCTGAACCCTTTCCTCGGGCAGCAGTGAGATTGGTGCATCAGGAAACCTTTTACACTTACTCAAGATAACGTTTGGAAACATGTCAACAGCACTGTCTTCAAACGGGGAACAACAGTAACCAGAGGTTCTGTGCTGCCTTGCAAAGGCGTCCAGCATCGTGTCACAATATAACTGCAAAGCCTGGAATAAAACACTAAGTAACACATATTGGTAAAGAAAAAGGAAAAAGATGCATGTTTAAAGAAAAGCTTTTGCAAATAAAAAGATGGATGATTTTCCACAACGTCACAATTATGCATGGTAAAACATACTTAAATATAAAAAGAAAAAAATTCATAACATGACAAAATGTAAGAATGTTTCAGAATGATGTGAACAATTACTTTTCCAGGGCAAAAAAAAGGGAAAACAGCTAGATTATCCAGTAAAAAAAAAAAAGGTCTGTTATCAGCCAAGCTGATGCTGAGTTGATCACAATTAGAGCTGTAATGGTAGGGTTTATGCGAGTCATAGCAGCCCTAATCACAGCTGCTCGGAGCTGCTCTTGTCTCGCTGCCCACCTTAAACAGTGCCACAGGCAACAAGCTCCTTGAAGTAAAGCTATGAAAATGCAATTCCACCCAAGATCTGATGAAAGCTGCCGACAAATTCTGATAAGTATTTAAAGTTGATTTTTAAAGTATTTAATGAAGCAACTTTTGGACTGTCATGGGGTATCTTGTAAACACACCCAACTGGCTGTGTTTTAGGACATCAGGGTGATTAAAACATATATTTTAGTAAGACAGTTTATTCTGCAAAAAACATCTTCAGTGCTCTAACTGAGAGGACATGAGGTAATACATGACTCCGGTCATTTTTTCCTTATAAAGTGCAGCCATCCTGTCCCATGTGCAGAAAAACACCCCCAAAGCATGATATTTCCACTCCCATGCTTTACAGTAAGGACTGTGTTTTTGGAAGGTTACTCTGTATTCTTCTTCCTCCAAAC